GAGTCTATGTCTTGAAGCTTTCTTACTTATAGTCCAATGTTATCATAAAAACCCTGTATATGTCCTGGCAAGGTGAGTAAGCATTCTATATACTTACAATTAAATATCGGATCATAGAAGACTTGAGTTCCTGAGCTATGACCTTCAGAAACATTCTTTACTACTTATTTTCTCCTCTTGGGTTAGGGAAGAAGGCTAAGGGAAACTGCGGTTGAAGGTTACCATCCAGGGCAGGCATCTATCACTCTAACTTAGGAACATATCAAATGTTTGCTAAGTCAATAGACTAGAAGGATCAAGAATATACATACAAAAAGAATAAAACTACCTGAAGTAAAATTATGGCAATGAATAAAACATAATAAATTTTAAAATGGTATTATTATTTTAGAAAATGATAGAAAAATAATTTGAAGGAATAGAAAAAGAAGCTGCACTTAAACTAGTAACTCATCTGTATATAAAAAATGTATATTATTCTCCAAGAAAAAATGAGACAGAAACATAAAGTCCAGTTTACAAGTTGGAGATATTACCATGGCTCAAGTTCTAGAAAACACCTTATGAGCCTCAAGAGAACAAAAGCTAGTGACCTAAACAGTGAAACATAATTAGCTTAGATTCAGATTTTCCACTGCAACTTTTAGTGCCAAAAGAAAATGGAGTGATGCCTCAATGTTTTAAGAAAAATGTGAGCCAAGAAAATCCTGCCAAATTATTTGTCCTTAGACTAAAAAGTTTGCAGAATTTTCTAACATGCAAAGATTCAAGAAACATAGCTAGGAAGAGATTTGAGAAAAGGTCTGGAAATGAAAACAGGTAAAAGATAATTGTTTCCAAATCTTACCTTTGAAAATGAAGTTGATATGGAAAAAGAAGAGCTCACTAGTATGAAACATACGGTAAATTCCATTGTGAAATGTTTAGTTGCGTATCTTAGGGAAACAATAATGCTAATTATTTTTATAAGTTTATTGTGAAAACTAAGTGAAGTGTTAGAACCCTTCAAAATAAGCTAAAATGGCAGCAGTATATGCTTACATATGGGAAAAAAATCTTATCATTATAAAATAAAAATATAACAAATCAAGGAAGTAAGATGAACAATAATAAAAACAAAATCTTTTTTTTTCCTTTGGTCTTTTTGAGACAGGGTCTCCCTGTAGCCTCAGCTGACCTGAATTTGCTATGGAGACCAGGCTGGCCTGGAACACACAGAGAGCCTCCCTAGTGCTGGGATTAAAGGTGTGTGCCACCATGCCTGGCTATAAACAAGAACTTTTAACTGAAATATTTTCACTGATTTCACAGTTAATATTTAATAAATATTAATTTTTAAATGGATAATTTTTAACTAATAGTTCTGGCAGTGAAATCTCATTTTCAACAATTCTTTCATTTAAAGTAATTTATTCTGACATTGAATATAAGTAGCTTTTGATA